AAACCTCTCATTAGTATAATAGGGTAGATTGAAACTTTTAAAACGCTAGAGGCAAAATTGAAACCAAGTATACATAGATAAGGGGAAACATTGAAGCCAACTAAATTATAAGAAATGGCTTTAACATATGTGGTTGATTTCAATTTTACCCACGAAGTTTTGAAAATTTCAACTTTATCCACAACCTTTTAATTCACATCAGACATTTAACAAAGATGGCTAATAGATGGTGCTTTTTTTAAGAAAATTGAAACTTTTAAAACATTAAAAAGCAAAATTATGAAACCAACCACAAGTATTTTAGGGATAATTTAACAAAAAAATCATATACCATTTATCATTCAAGTACCTTTGAGCCCTTCCAAAGATGCTCAATGCAGCTGCAGGGCAACTCAAGTTCTAATAGGCTTTTGGGATGGAAATTTGATGGTAAACACTTTAAAGGGTATCCATGCCAATTGAGAAACCGCAGCTGATCAGAGAGATATTCAAGTTCTCCGTTAAGGTAAACATTATTAACTTTCAACACTCTGAGATTGGTCATTGCTGAAAATGACTTGGGATTCAACTGTGACTCCCCCTTCTCACTTGAATCCATCATTATGCCTTCAATGGCTTCTGTTCCCTAACAAAATCAAATGCAGAGATTTTCAGAAATTAAATCATAGACACATGCCAAATTTTCTGTTAATCAAACATTAGGTTAAGTTACAAGTTCGGTAGAGTGGAAGTTCAGTAGAGTTGTGTCTACCAGGTCTCTAAACTTTAATAAATATTTAATAGGTCCTTAAACTTCAAGTTCTTACTCTCAATTTTATATCTAATAGGTCTTTAAACTTTCAATTGTGTTTCAAATAGATCTCTCTAATCTATGAGACACTTTTTCAAGTTCAAAGATCTATTAAAGAAAAAGTAATAGTTCAGGGACAACCTATTAGATACCTTTTAAATTTTAAAATTTAAAGATGTATTAAACACAATATCAAAACCTTAGAGATCTATCGATACTTTTTTATAGTTTAGAGACCTGTATATTAGACTAGATCAACATATTGCTTACAATTTCAATTTGGAAGTATTACCTGATCACGACTTAGAGCAAGATTTATATCCTCACGAAGCCACAACCTGCTTCGTTTTTCAGGATCATTAGGAAACTTTTGGCGAACAATTTCCTGACCCATTTCTTGGATCAAGTCATGCATTTGTATCTTATCATGTGGAGCAGTAATAAGTGATTTCTCCTCCAAAATTTCTAGCCCAAGCACAGCAGGAAATCCAAAGCTCTGCAGAATTTCTACTGCTTGTCGCTTGCTCTTCCTCTTAAAAAAACATGCAATGTCTAGAAAAATTTTCTGCTCAGACTCTTCCAACATATAATAACTAATTTTTAACTTTTCAAGGATCTCCATATCACGAACTTCCTTCAACTTATCCACTGCATTTTCCCATGCCTCCATTGGCTTATCACGCAAAGAGGATCCAAGAACCTCAATTGCCAATGGAAGCCCTCCAGCATAGTCCACAACTTGGCTTGAAAGGTCAAAATAGCCTTCCTTCGGATGGTCTGCAAGAAATGCCTTCTGGGAAAAAAGTTGAAGAGACTCATCAATGTTTAGACCCTCAACATTGTATCTTCTTTCAATTCCATGAGAAATGAGGAGATGTTCGTCTCTCGTCGTAACGATGACTCGACTTCCTGGACCAAACCAATCGTACCCTCCCGCCAACTTTTGRAGTTGGCTTAGATGATTAACATCGTCAATAATTATAAGAGCCTTTAGATTGCTTATTCTTCTCTTGATCGATGTGGCTCCATCGCCATCTGGGATCTCAATGTTTCTTTTCATTAGAGCCCCTGATAAAAGTTTTTCTTGCAATGAAGTCAAGCTTTCCTCCTTTAAAGCTTCTTTGACTCTGTCCAAAAAGTAACATCCTTCAAATAAATGGGACACGCTTTTGTATATAATTCTAGCGATGGTTGTTTTGCCAATTCCACCCATACCCCATATTCCAATAAATCGCACATCATCCAATCCTATGCCCAAAAGCATGTTTACTTGGTGTAATCTTGAGCTAATTCCAACCAACTTACCGTCATAACGAAACAAATCAGGACGCAATTTGTTAAAAACATGCTTCACAACTTCTTTAATGGCCACTGCTTCGGACCTACGAAATTAAATTATCAGTGACTCAATATTTTTCAGATCAGTGAAAAGGAAGCAAAAGGAAAAATTGCCATCTATTCATGAGAGAGGAAGCCAACTTTCAGTTCCCACCAAAAATTTTTTGATACAAGAGAAGAACAATATTTAAGTATGAATGCAATAACAAAACAGCATAATATGTTGGAGTATGATTAGTCATACATATATCAGTAAACAAAAACGAAAAATGAGAATTGAAGTCGTTGAGCTAGCAACAAGGCACTGAATTGTCAACTCGAATATAGCTCAATTGATCATTAAAAGTGCATATATATAATCGAAGTCGTTGAGCTAGCAACAAGGCACAATATTAATCGAAGTCGTTGAGCTAGCAACAAGCACAATATTTCTTCAATCATATGAATTAACATATCAACATTACCAACTAGAATATAGCTCAATTGGTCAGTAAAACTGCAGTTTCTTTTACTCGAAGGGGCCGCTCAATTGGTTAGTAAAACTGCAGTTTCTTTTACTCGAAGGGCATGGCCCCGGGGATTGGATTCCACTCCCATGGTGGGTCGGACGGAGAATACAACCGGTAGCGTGTTGAGGGTCAATTTTTGCGGTGGTGGTGGTGGTGGCAGCGGTTGGAAATATTGCGGCGGTGGAGGGTTTACGGTGGCAGCGGAAGCCCATGGCGGCGGCAGTTGTTGAAAGTGGATGAGTTTTTGGAGGCCGTCGAGAGAATTCGAAGCGGGAGAAGAAAAAGGCATAAGAGGGTAAAACTGGTGAAAAGGACGGCTGTTGTTTATGGAGAATAATGGATTGGTGATCGTCTTCTCCATGGAATTGGGAGTGTAGTTGAAAGAAGATGGTTTGGAGTTTAGGAAGCTTGTTTAGAAAACCTGCGTTTGCCTTGGGGTAAATGCTTACAAATACTACGAATTCGAAGTTTGAGTGTTATATAAACTTTGTAAAATATAATTCTACACCTAAGCTTTTTTTTTTTTTAGGATGAAATTAATTTTTGTTTGAACCTTATTTATTTGCAAATAAATTTATCCCAAATAAAAATCTGGTTTATTAATCGATTTTTGGGTTATTTTTTTTTAAACCGTCACTAGTAGAAATTCGGACTTCAATGATAAACGGTTAGTACCATGACTCCAAGACACTTATATAACTGTCCTGGATTAAGGCATCAAGACAAAAGAAAATGTGACATTCATTGAAAAACTGTCATCAATATAATTACAACGATTGTTATAAGCTGTCTAGAACTAGTTATCCACCACAATTTAAAAATGTCATAAATTACTCATTTATTTTGGCAGTTTATAGATGTCACTCAATGAAGCAAAAATTATACTCTCCAGTTAACAAAAATGTATCGGATAATGAAAACAAAACAAAACAATTTTTGACATGTGGCAAATTATACTTTGTCCAAAAGTTTAGAGTATGTGTCTATTTGGTTTTTTAAGTTTTAGGAGAGACACTTTTAGTCCATAAAATTTGTAAAATAGCTCTAAATGGTCCATAAAATGTCGATTGCGAGAATCGAAGCGACACGCATTGAAAATACGCATGACATCAGAATGACAACACAACATTATAGCCTTCATGAAGGGGAGTGACAAGACCCAAGGTTGCCACTTGGTAGATACTAAATTCACATTAACGGTGACTGTGTTGGATAACGACACCTTGAAAAAGGAATCAATTCGAGCTCAATCATGAAACTCAGGTCTTGCCAACAGCCCACAACAAGAAGAAAGGGAAAAATGAAATAAAAGTCAAATCATACCTAAAAAACAAGAAGAAAGGGAAAAATGAAATAAAAGTCAAATCATACCTAAAAAAAAAGCGCTCATTTAAGTTATCAACCATTATAGGGCTCATTCGAGCACATGCAAGTAACTTAAAGCATATGTTTTCAGTTAAGAGACCATTAACCTCAAACTGAGAATAGAGGAACTTATCGCAGAATCAAAACTTGGAGCATTATCGATGGGAGCCCTAGGCCCAATAGCCATTAATTGCAATTCTACCACCTGCCCTCGAGATGCCTATTCCACACCTAATGCAATCTCGAAACTCCTTGATTTGTGCAGGAGAAAGTGGAACCCGATCCCTCTTCCTTTGTTCCCCAGGACGATATCTAACTCGAACACCTAAACCAAAAGGTCACAGTTTCCATCTGACAGCTCCTAGTTCTAGTTGTTGGTCTCCTCCCACCATCTGCAATACAACCTAGACCCCTCTAGAGCATTTTCCAAGAGTGAGCCCTTTGCCACCAACCTCTATTGCATGCGGCTAATGCTGTCTACAATCTCTTACAGCTTATCACAAACCATCTCTGTTAAGCACTTTTCCAAATTGAGAAAGGCATCGTCGGTAAGGGAAAAAGGAAAGGGCACCGGGGCCACCGATCTTCATTCCCCAATCGAAGAAGAATTTGAAGAATCCAAGGAACAATCCATATTATCAGAGGACATTCTTCTTGAGACAAAACGCAAAGCGAAGATAGAAGATGGGAAGTCTCAACCTGTCCCCCTCCCTTAAATAAGAAATGTGAGGAAAGCTCAAATGRTGAAAAAGGACTATTATAAAAGAGCACAACTTTCAGAAGCAATTGATGTACCTTAAGCCTAAGGTTGACAAGGCAGCTCGGGAACACCCATGACAACTAAATTGACACATGCTTGCTAAAAAATAAGGCGTCATTAGAGCACCTCGATTTGGCTATCAAAGTGTGAGGCATCTTGAAGTTCCCAGATTCTATGGCTTCCCCCATCGGCCCAATAAATAAGGCCAACATAGGAAGTAGGACCATTATTATAGGGTAATATTGAGGTGTCACACGTCATAATAAGCCCATCTAACCACTCGGGCCAAGTCAAAAAAGAACCATTGAGACCAAGTGCACTGGGCCCAATCTCGAGTACACTGATTAAGTGCATTTGGACATCTAGTATAGAGGATAACCAGTAGGCAGGGTTTTGATACCCTATACTCAAACCATGATACACGTCAAATGATCACCTAGGACACTGTCACGCCCCTCCATTCGTGGGACAAAGGAAAAAATGTTGTCGGTGGTCCCGTTGGCAATTGGCGAGGAACATTGCTTCTTGTCTTTGCCTCTGCCCTTTACATTCAAACTCACTCACTCTCTCTTCATATATAAGGAAAATAGCAATCGTAATTGAGGTAAGTCATCTTCCGTACACAACTCCTTGTGAGAATTCAAGACACACTCTTAAGCAAACTTTTACCTTCGAGATTACTGATCTCTACTTTGTGATCTACTCCATACTCGTTTGCTCCCAACTTGAATTTTAACTTAAGCATTAAAGTACATTCAGCAGAGTACTACCCCGATGCTGTCTATGTGTGTAGACAACTACGATTTTTTAGATGAAGGTGTTCGTGACACCTACGTGATACTAACGTGTCACTTGCCCACAAATCAGCATTGCATTAGCTTTCACTTACCAAAATTCAATAATCTTTTTATATATATATTTTATGGAAGAACATAATTGAAAATATTTAATATATGCATTGATGGTAAAATTGACATTAAGAATTACCTTTTTCTTTTAAATACACGTTAATAATTACCTAAAATATTAAGAGGGCATTTGTTTCATGGGAATCCCACGTTTGTTTTATAAGAATGTAAGATACCCGAGAATATCTTGGTATTCTAGAATGTTCATACAATGGACATCTAACGTATTTTAAATGTTTTTTTGAAACACGGGTTTACAAGATTCCCATGTCGAAGATATCATCTTTTTACATTTTTGTTCTTCATTGGTTTTTCTTCGTATATTTACTTTCAACAAAATTTGTATTTTTATTTTTGATTTTATAATTTAATAAATTAATGGACTAATAAAGAACTTTATGCAATTAAATATATGTATATATTACATATATGTATAAAATAAAATAAAATTCAATTATATAATATCTCCATTTATTTTTAAATTTTGAAGAAATTATTATTAATAATATTTACTGTCATAAAATATATAATTTTTAAACAACATATTTTTTAACAATCAATATATATTGATATTTTTCCTCTTAAAATCAATTAATGCTATAATATGATAAAAAAAATTTCATCCAAGATAATTATATAATTGTCTTTTTAGAATAAATTTGAAAATAAAATTTATATAACATTAATTATTTAAAAAAATTTATATTAATATGATTTAATTTGTTATAAAAAATATATATACAAAACTAATATAAAAAAATAAAATATTAAATTAATAAAACAAACCTATTATATTCAATGATATCCTTTTAAATTTTCATACCAAACAAACTATGGAAGATGTCAGACATCTACGTATTCTAAAAACACATCTATATTCTCCAAAATAAACATGAGATGTCAGAACATCTAAAATTTCAAACATTTAAAAATGTTGGTCATCTATATTCAAAAAAACAAAATCAATCTAGGTACCATTTGCCTGAGCGGTACCATGTAAGCCCATGTGAATTCAATACTTTAACATTTAGAATTCCTTATTCTTTTCCGATAAATATTTCTTCTAAGTTAGGTTGAGTGTCTAATAACCATTAAAAAAAAAAGAGGCTAATCTTGGGTTTTTAGTACAAAACAAATATGGGTGAGAGATCCAACTTTTCCAATTAGAAATTATATCGATTCATCCCCTAATCCTTATAATTAAGCCTAAACTTTCAAAGTATATAACTAATAATACTGTAAAAGTAAAATAAATTATCGATAAAACTTTCCAGAGGACTCCTGAATTCTAGTAATATATAAACAAATACTTTTTTTTTTTTAATTTTACATAATTTCTACATGGTTCACTCCGTATGTTATGGACTCTCCAAGAATTCAAGAAGAGTTTCTCCTGAATATTTGGAGGGAAGTTTTCTCGGTAAAACACAGAACAAACAAGAATGAAAAATGAAGAGAGTCGATGGTGTACTTACTGCGAGTCTTTGAGATGCCATCCAGAGAGATGGCCAACTTGGTTCATGGAATCCCTCCATGTTTGAACTTCTTTAATATCATTCTCTTCATGTTCACAAAACGGCTTCTCAAAGTTCCCCTGCTGCTTCCTCACATTGGCTGGATCAATCTGATAGAAAATTGGAAGAACCAACTGATTCATCATCTCCTTACACATTACGATCTTCGCCAGTTCCTTCATTCGAATCCGATCCACGTAGTTCTCGGAGAAAACCACGATCGAAGCCCTCGATTCCTCGACCGCCCTCAGCATTTCGGTCACAGGTCTCGCTCCGTCGTCTTTAAAAACGACGATTCCTTGAACCGTTAGAACATCGTGGAGATCGGCGGCAAAACCACGGCCGGTGTCTTCGACTCTGTGGCTGAGGAAAACGTCGAACGTTCGCTTGGGAGGAGAAGGAAAAGAGAGAAGAAAGGGAGGAGGAGGAGAAGATAATGAAGCTGGTCTCGGCGCAATCGCCGGAGACGCCATTGAAGGCCGGTAAGAGCTCTGGTTCTGATAGTGTGGCAAATAATTTGAGTTTTGCAGTAGCTGATACTGAAATTTGTTTTCAACTCGACTGGCCGGCCAACATATTCTCTCTCATGTGAAATTTGATTTGATTTTTTTTTCCCTTTTTTATTATCTATTTATTTATTATGAGAATATAGTATTGAAATTGTGGGGTAAGAATTTAAACGCATGATCATTCCAAAGAAAAAAAGAATCTTTCTTAAAAATAGAAAATTAAATGAATTTTTTAGTTTTTAATTTTTTGCTCTTTCCCTTTTCGATGGTAGAAAGGTTGGAGAGCTTTATTTTCTTAGGTCCTTTTAGCATTTGAAATTGGTCCTAAATAATTTAAAGCTATACAATTTTAAAAAGATGAAAATGATTTCAAATTCCTGTATTTAAAATCAAATTGATCATTTTAAATCATTAAATTTTGTTAGGATGTTTATAAGAAATAAAAAAATATTTTATTTTACTGTTATGTCATTATAATTTTAAAAGATATAATAATAATWATTATTATTATATATAATTATGAAAGAAAGCAAATCTTGTAATAAATCAAAACTTGAATTCATGTCGAAGTTGAATCTATGAAAATATTTACGTGTATCTATGTGTCTATATATATACAAACTACGTAGTCAATTTTTTTTTTATTTGATGGGAATCAATAAAACATAAGAAATATTTTAATCTAGTTAAATTTTAGTAGTAGGATCAAAATGAAGAGAAATAGTTTGATTTTGTCGAAGTTGAAGAATAAAACAATTTTCTTTTTCATCGTACGTATTGGGATAATTCTATAAGTTTTTATCAATCCAAAGAGCAAAAAGAATCGAATAATTATTCTATGATTCATAAATTTTGACTAGATCTACGTATGGGATGAGTTCAAGTTTATCTATTATAGTACCAGCATGAATATAGCCTCCGCGAGATAAATGTATAACACTTTAGTCAGTATATCGAGGTGCATACCATAATAACATAAATTACATAATAACATAAATTACACGACGATTGTAAAGAAGTAGACCATTATCATGCATGTATTTATTGTGTAATTGAGTCCATCAATTGATCAATGACATGTTTTTCTTCTTCTTCTTTTTTTTTTTTTTTTGGAAAAAAACCACTTTTTGAGTATGAACGTTTGACTTTTGAGCAAAACAAGACAAAGATAGGTGGAGGTGGAAACAAGGAAAAATACTAAATTAAGTTATCATGTTTTCTTTTGTTTAATTTCATATATTGTGCTAAGAATAACGACAAACCCATAAAAAGGTTTTAAAATATTTCTGACTGATTCTTGGTTTTTGGACTTTGGTCTCTAAATTGTGAAACTATGACATCCTTATCCTTAACGTTTCCAAATATTAAACTTTTTCGTCGGTGACGTGAAACCAGTTTAAATTATATTTTTTATATTTCGAAATGCCTATTTGTTCCATAGATCTCAAAAGAATAACAAACTTTTTTGTTATTATTCTATTGTCAGTCTCCTCGGTTCATTATTATTATTATTACTTTTGTATAAAATTATTTTTTTTAATACAATATTTTTTCATGAGAAATGAATGTGTAGTTGAGTCATGACCCATATAAATTTAGCTTAACAATAATTAGCGGTAATTAGCTATCTCGATTAAGAAATTATGAATTTGAATTCTCAATCCTACTTGTTGTACTCAAAAGAGATAAAAATAGTTGAGTTATGCTCAAATTAAATTGTATAGATTTAATTATAATTAATCTAATAATTTTTTCCCTTTTTAAAAATAATTAAGTCATATTTGAAACTCAATATTCACCTAAGTTGGTCTATATAATTTCATACTAATAAAGATTTCATTTTTTACACATAGGATGGTAACCCGTCTGATAGTCAAAGTGAGCATAGGTCAGTGATAATTGACATATACCACCAACCATGAGGTTGTGAGTTAAAATCTCCTCCCCAACATGTTGTACTTAAAAAAACTAACAATAGTATGTGAGGAAATGGAGAAATTATTCCTGGTTGGAAACTTGAACCTCATGAATTCTCCATGGGTAATCTTCTTCCCATTCCAAATTTCATGTGATGAGAAATTAAATGGGAGTGGCGATTGGGGATGGGGAAGACTTTCCCGTCCTCGCTCCGTCTCATGAGTACTCTTAGATGCTCATATTAATATGTTAATACACATATTTAAAGTCACACAATTCATTTATTAAATAATTTATGAGAGGAAAGCCCAAATTTGTTTAAAGTTGGAACAAAATAAATTTAAAACTTTAAAGGATAATTAAAATGAGATTTAAATAACAAAACAAAATGGTAAAATGAGAGCTAAGCATCGACATAATATTGTATTAGTATTCACATAGCTCATTTATTTATTTATTTATATTTAATATTACTTTTTGCTGATTAAATTTCTTATAACTTTTTATGAAGATTCCCACGCCAACATTAATTTCTTTTGTAAAGGTGACAATAGAGGATCAATTCCACGATTTATTTTCCGAATTTGAAGAATAAAAGTATTGAAATTTAATCCATATTTGAAGGATGAAATTAAAAGTTTGATTTTGGAAAGATTGTTTGTAATTATTGGTTAAGCCAAAGTTTGTCCAAAAGCAAAAAGTGCAAAGAAAAATGGAGTGATCCTTTGGAATAAATCTGGCTTGTATGATCACCATCAATTAATTAATTATTTTAATGACAGTTGGATGATTTATTAATATAATATTTGTATTAGTTAAATTAGAGCTCTCTAATTTAAGACATTATTTTATTAATCAGCCGATGGTGCTTTACAAATTCACATGATGCTTATATTCAAACTGTGACCAAATTTCAACAAATTTCAAATATATTCAAACACCTACTCCACARGTTGCATATTTTTTAGGGAGAAATTAGAGTGGGCAGCCCTAATAATTAAAATAGTTTAAAATATTTTATGAATACCAAAATTATCCTCCTCCCTACTTCTGTTCTATTTAGGGATTTCCATTTTCTCTTTGGGGATGGGCCCTATCAAAACCCAGGGTCGAGAATCCCCTTTTAGATTCTGTGTAAGGAATTTTGAATTTTTACCTGTCACCTAAATAAGGACGGAGATTAGGGAGGAAAAAATTTCCCTCCTAAAGATTGAGGAGGAAGTTCCTCCTTAATTCTAGACAAGTTTTTTTTTTTTTTTAATTTTGCATAATTCTTACGGTGGTCCACTTGTCTATATGTTACTGGAGGAATTCAGGAGGAACTTTCTCCTGAATCTTCGGGAGGGAAGTTTTATCCGATGASGAATATGTTCCCGTTACCTATAGTACCTCACTTTTTTTTAATATATATACTAAAAGAAATATGATTATTATCTATATATATAGATTAAAAAAATAGTTCTTCTATACCAACCCAATATATGTAGAGAAAATAAAACTCATAAATGAAGTTGTATCATTAAAAATTAATAGATTAATTAGAAATTTCTTTAAAAATAATATTTAATTAAGAAATAAATTTAAAATTAAAAAAAAAGAACGGGAAAAATTTTCTGTGTGGAACCCCACACGAAATCCCCACCCTGTGAGAAATTTCATAGGGATGGGGACTCCATCCCCGTCCACATACGTCTCGTAAATATCCCTAGTTCTACTCCTATCTTATCTCATGTTGATGCTTGGATTTTGGTCTTCCCGGCCTACTCCAAAATGCGAACCAAACTCGATGATCAAGGGACCGAATATTACCTACAAAATCGAGTAACCCTAAACCAGTGTGACTACTGTCTCACGGGTTCCGATGCCTAAGTCAGATATGAGAGAATAATTAAACAAGTAAGAGTACTTAGTATGCGTTTTTATCTTACTTTCAATGGGTGACTCCCCTTCTATTTATAGTTGACCTTCCTCTTAGGGTTTCACGAATTCCAACCCTAGGTCATCTCACGATAGTCGAGCCCACTAGGTCATGATAGGTGCGGGCCTATGGGTCGAGACGTCCCCCATAATAGGAGAGGAGGAAGGACGGGCTCGGTCTTTGGCCGAGCCCGACTCGACATTGAGAGCAGGGGTCGAAATCGAGCCCTGCTTGGCTTGGTTTGGCCTTCGTGGGCCCCTCCTCTGGCTTATTGCGATCTGTTGCCTGTCGTTTCCTATCTCATAACATCTTATATTATTTTATTTAGTTTATTTTTTCATGGTTAGAATCAACTATTTTTTCTTTTCCTTTCGTATTGATCCTCTTCCTATCTCTTACAATTTCTTCTTTTTAAACAACGATATTTGTATGTGTTTTTTCTATACCACTTGTCTACTAGCTCTCTCGTCTTCTTAGATTAATTTAGAATTTCCTATACCACTTCTTTTATTTGAAAACATGCAAAATAAGGCAGACGAGTATACCATTGAAGATTTTTATGGTTTTYTCGGTTTCGAATAGTATATGAGCGGAGCGAGAGCGACTAGAGTTTACTTCAGGAATAGAGGTTTTTGATGTAGTTGCGCACGTTTTTGCTTTTTTCATCGAGATTGGGTCGGTATTCAGCGTCAGTACAAGATCACTAAAAACATGGAATACAGTTAATTTTTTTTTTTATTGAATCCCTTTTTTTCCAACCAAATACAAGGTGATTTGAAAACGAGGGATTCAATAAAAAAAAAAATTTAACTGTATTCCATGTTTTTAGTATTTTCAAATAGGTGGTTGGTAGCACATTCGAAAATTGAATCTTAATTCAAGCCAATATATTTGTAAACCTAGTCGTTATCAACTAAGTGTTTATTTTAATACAAAATATTGTTAAAAAATTTATTAACATATATGTGTTATATATAAATTTTGTATAATTATTATTTTATAATATATTATGTTTTACATGTTTTAATTTTAACAAAAATGTAATGAGTTTATTACATGAAATAGTATATTAATCAAAGTTTTAATTTTTTTTAATGTAATTACGTAGTTTAATCCATTTGATTCAATGAATCTGAAAAACAAGAAACCGAATACAATTGCTGGTCGTTACATATTTAAGAAAAAGAAAAATTGATATTTACTGTTTTATTAAAAATGATCAAATTGGAGAGAATTTTTATGGGCCACTTGCAAGTATAGTAAAAAATTAATTAGCTCCAAATATAGTAACTGGTTTTCTGATTTGGAAATATAACAAAAAACAAAGGTCTAGTCCTAATGAAAAAAAATGAAAAAATCCCAGCTCAGGTTGATATACCCAATATCAAGTATATTAGAGATGTACTTAAATTAGGTATATCAACGATACACTTAAAATGAAGTATATCACTAATATATTTAGGTATATCAATTATATAAGTGATACTCTTTATATTCGGTATATTCAATCATATAACTGAATATACCTAATATCAAATATAACTATAACATTTATTTTAGTTGTTATATTTATAAATATGACAAGTATTTTTGCTACCCATTGGTAAGCTCAAATTTGTCTAAAAGCAAAAGTAGGAAAGGAAAATGGTACGGTGCTCGGGTGTCATGTGGTCATGCTCATACAACGTCTATGGCATGTGACTGCATCCCTATAACACCCTCTTCTCTCGTACTTTTATTCAATGTATTTAGTTTTGGACGACATTTACTTTTTTTTTTGTACTTTTGGTGACAAGTGACTCCTCGCTTCTTTGCGATATTCATGTCTGTTAGACTAAAAATGCCTTATAATGTAGGGGTACACCTATTCACCTCCCGACCTTGAATTGTATACTTGCCTTGCCACTATTTGCTCTCTATTGCTTTGAAGCCTACAATATGCTTTCTAAAATGTTTCCCAACATTTTCCAAAACCTTTTCTCCGACCACGTTCTCTAAAATCGCTTTCTCAAGAATGTCGGTGGAGGTTTGCGGAAATAGATCCATTGTGCCATTGTTAATCCCGTTTCGAATTGGCCAACTTTCCTGTAGGTGGAAGCAAGTGCCGTATAATCGCTCCATGAGCCTCATTAGAGTGTGATTGTGAGCTTTGGTATTAAAGCTGTCTAGCTAGTTGACTCCTCGTGTTGGAAAAAAGTAACCATGTCAACCCATGGGCAAGACCCATGTCAAAAGACTTGTTGAGATTGAGGAATAGTTGCTATTTATAAGGGAAGTTCTTTGACCAATCTTCGATATGTGAAATCTAACAAGGATAATAGAATTGATGTAGTGAATACTCTTATAGATGCGATTGTTCTACGTAAGAGTTGGTGGTGAGGGTTGAGACCATAGAAGACAAGGTTAAGCATACTAATAATAACCTTATAAACATTGCAAAAACTCGTCAAGCTCGATCGTCCACATGGAGGAGAGTGTTGGAGAATTGAACATCCCCTAAAAGTCTATTTTTCACATGGTCACCAAACTAACTGAAAACTTCAAAGGTGTCATCAATGCTGTGCGAGTGGAAGTTGCAGAGTTGAGTACTATAGTAAATCTCACCACGAGAGCATTGAGAATTAAGCTCCGACAGGAGAACCTATTTAGTTTAACAAGATGAAAATTCTGTAACCCAACCCCTTATGTATCTCTTGTTATTTGTTTCTCTATTTAGCATATTGTTTTCCAAAGAAAAGAACAATTATGATGAAATAAGTTAGTTAAATTAAAGTATATTTTTGGAGCTTAGAATGTATTGTGAGAACTCGTGCATGTGATGAGAAATGAATATATTTTGTTGAGATATTGTATTAATGATTTTTTATAGATGTCCCAAGCAATGCTGAAGTAGTAGTGCGAGACATTATGCTGTGAGAACATAACGTGCTTGAAAACTTGAATGATGCAGCACTGCAATTCACCAGATTTTGGATCTAGAGCACTGCAAATGTTGCACTCCATGCTTAACATTCTGATAAAAGACAAATTTTGATTTTCTATAAGAAAAGGAAAGTATTTACAGCAAATATTGCTCAAAATTAATTTATTGGCCAAATTTGAATGTTATAAAGAGAGAGAAGCACCGAGTCCAAAAACATGGAGCCAAGAAGACCATTTTGGAAGTTAAGATCAATTTTAGAATAATTTTTTAGCTTATCATGTCAAGCACACACAACAAAGTTTATACCTCAAAATTTTGTTTGCCCTTCAATTGAAATTGTACAACAAAGTTAGTCTATGTATCTAGTCATCTTGATGCCAACAAAGTTTATACCTCAAAATTTTGTTTGCCCTTCAATTGAAATTGTACAACAAAGTTAGTCTATGTATCTAGTCATCTAAATGCCTCTTTATGGATATAGATTCCATCAATATTTGATCAACGTTCTCCCGATCTTGATTATGCACTAGATAAATTCCACAACTGCGAACCGCCAACTCAGGACTATCAGTTTCGACGATGGCATGAATGTAAGAGCAATGGCGTAAGACGTTACCGAACGTTCTTCGTGGCGTATAGTACAACCAAACAAATTGCCTTTGGTCCAACCATAACCATTTGTTCTCCATTGTAGTGTGGATGTGAAGTGGCTTTAGAAGACCTTGCTCAATTGTAAACTGGCACATCAGGTCATGGGGTACCATTGAACCAAGATTGTTGAAGATTGCTGTTGGATTCTTGTTGATGTTCAAAAGTGTGCAAACAACAAACCCAATCCAATTGTTGTTTGTATACAACGTTGGAGGCAGTTGAATGGTTGCTCTGTTTCTCTCTGGCTGGCGGGTAAACAGTTGTGGAATGTCACGTCCAGGGATGACAAAATCAAATGTTGTCTCGTATCGGTTCTACAAATAGATCAAACTTTTAATATCACAAGACACTAAAATTCATTATGCATGCACAGTAGTCTTGGATCTGATACCATATTAATATTCATGAGATTCCATCTCAAAACTAATTGACAATGAAATGAGTAATCCATGTCTATTATAAACCATTGTTAAGTCTTCTCTTTTCAATGTGGGATATTTAACATTTCAATGTGGGATATTTAACAACATGATCATAATTCTTTATAAGGTGACAGTAAAAGATTCAACACAAAATCGATGAAATTTTTAAAACTTAGGGATGAGATTAAAAACGGCACAAAAATCAAACGAAAATATCTATTTTGCCAAAAAGTTAATCACAAGTATGCAAAACACAGTATACCAAATTAGTGACTGCTACAATTATTTCAATCAATATGTAGATGATTATTATTATATGTAAATCACCATTATTACACGGGTTAAAAGTTCAAATAAAGTAGGAGTGCAAATAAAGTCTCACATTGGAAAAGAGAGGGATCCATGATATATAGATAAGGATAATTATCTTCATCGATATGAGATCTTTTCGGTGAAACCAAAATATGTGGAGGGTCATGGTCTTTAACTAGTGGCATCTTAGAGTCATGGTTTAAACCTAGTAGTGTCAGTGAAATTTGTCTTTATAATCATGACAAATTTGTGGATGAATTCATAGATCAAACAAAGAGTGCAAGAATGTTTCGTTGTTCAGGGATGAGATTATTCGAGGCAAGATATATTACAAGTGGTTTTTTTCTATATCCGTTAGTGTTTATGCTACCCTACAACATTTGGGATTGAAAAACACATAAATTCTTAAAGTAGGTGACTATCATGGGTTTGAATTCATTTCCTCTCACTTTATCCTAGCCTTTTTGGACCAATGAGCCACCTATAATGCTCATGTGAAAATTATTAGACGTGCAAACATAGTCTCACGATGGCTATGAACAAAAAGATAGGCCTAAAATTAGACAGTAGCTTGATCATACTATAATGGATATATGTACAAGGTGATTATTATTAAAAAACAAAAAGCCAAAAGTATACCAACTATTATTATCAAGTAAATTAGCAATTAATGAGCTCTTTATATATATATATATAGAGAAAAGTTAGATTTGTAGTAACTTTTAAAGGGAAAAAAAGTTGAAACAACTGTCCATAATCAAAATTTGCGTTAAAAGTATGCATGAAAATAGAGAGATAGAGAGACAAACCTGTAAACTCCTTTGGAAGAAAAGTTGAAGACTTTTCTTTAGCTCGACATAGTGATCATTGTTAGCATTTAGGCTCCTTGTTGTAGCTACACAAGAATTACTAGATGTGGAAGCATAATTTGGTCCAGTAGTTTCTAGTTTCGCCTTCGATTCCATCAAGTAGTCGTCTTCCTCTTCTTCCTCCTCCTGATTCGGATCGTATCTTTGCGATCTTATCAAACTCAACATACCTTTCAAAAACACTCTATTATAAAACTCATAGAGGTTACGAGAGCAACCAAGTATACTATCAATGATAGTTTTGATAAAGCCATCCAAATCTTGCTTGTAGAGTAGACGTGCACCACATAACACTACTTTCGTGTTCGAGCAATGCGGTAGAAACGAAACACGAAGATGCCTCCATTTGTTTAACCGATAAGGATACACGGCACGAGGCTCATAACACACCCATAGTTGATGGGAGTCGTTGAATGCTCCATCATGCAAGCGAATGATCGACGGGCGCCCTAAATGATATTCATCGGATTCTACTTGATACGAGAAAGATTGTGAAATTTTTGACTTCTTGTCGATGGCGAATATCGCGAAGAGAGCCAAGCCCATCCATCTCTTGGTTTTGTGCAAATTTGGAGGAAGCTTGAAGGGTAAACCACTCTTTAGAAATCTCTCCTCGAGGAAAAATGTAGTATTCACCATTAAGCTTCAAATCCTGAAAAATATTATTCGATGGAATATCAATGTAAACCTACTTGTAAGGATTCTAAATTTTATGTTTGACACCAATTTACTTTKACTTTTGTGTTTATTTGTTTTTGGTCCTTGAAACATTCAAACGTTCTGTTTAAGTTCTTAACTTTTAAAAAATCGTTGATTTCGGAGATAAGAGAAGAATAACAAACTAAAAAAGAAGTTTAAGGACCAAAACAAGTATATGAAAGTTCAACACTTTAGTCGTCCAACATTAAAAAGTAGTTTTTTTTGGTGCAACATTTAGAGGCTTCAAATAGAACATTTCAAAGTTTAAGGTCCAAAACAAAATAATTATAAACCTTCAAGACCAGAAAAGAGAAAAACTTCACGTATAAGGAAAAAAAAAAAGAACATAGCGACAATCACAAAACGAAATTGTCGCATATGGAACACTTTTCGTCGCAGAGCTTAGTAATGAAAAGGCATTTTGTCGCTCAAGTGACGTAACACATTATCTTCGCTAAGCTGTGTGATGCATGCTTTTTTGTCGTTGGAGTCTACTAGCGACCCTTATTAGGTCGAAACAATTTTCATCATTAAAGCTCATTTTTCTTGTAGTGTCAATGTCGTATCAAAAAATAACAAAAGGAAACGACAAAAAAGAAGAGATGCAAACCTCAAAAGTTCTACATAGCACCGATTTGAGGCTTTTCTTCAACATGATTGTTGAATCATTTTCATGCACTTGGCGTCCATTTGATGCGTTAGGAGTAGAGGAACAGCCTTGTGTAGCATTAGGTTGTCTACTTGGTTGAAGCTTTGGTAATGATCCGACCGTCCTAAAACGAAGACATAGGGATAAGATTTACATCAGATAGAAAACACAATTCGGAAAGGTCAAATTTCAAATAACATTTCTAAACTTTTGATTTGATCCGATTAAAAAACTTTGTTAATTTCGTCACCCAAATATTGGGTGCGAATGAACTAACGAGTGATGATTTTGTTAAGGATTCTATATTAAGAACATAAAGGTCGACTTAACAAAAGTTTATAATAAACATGAGTTATTTCTCTCATTGTCAATTAATTTTGAGATGAATTCCATGAATATTTATATGGTATCACAATCTCAAACTCTCAAACAAGCATTAGGTCCAAAAATAAGATTCGGTCAAAGATCCTTTTTGGTTGAGTATAACATGTGGGGGGCGAGGAATCGAACTTACAAGCTCTTAGTTGGAGATATAAACCAATTACCACTAACGGAATGTTTTAATTGATTTGTTCACCATTTTTGCATGGCACAACGATATCCCAAATATCTCCGCAATAGTATAATATCGTCCGCTTTGGACATAACCCTCACGACTTTGCTTTTGGTTCCACCTAAAAGGTCTTATACCAATGAAGATAATTGTCCTCTCTTATATACTCATGATCATTCTCTTCCTTAGCAACTTTGCTTGCACTCTCCTTACCAACCCAAGAAGGAAAAAACCTATTTTGGTTATTGTTTCCAAAATTTCTATACAACTTTGAGAAAGTTAATTAAAAGAAGAATCAAGAAACACAGTTAGTTGCAAAATACTTAGATTTCTTAAGAAAGTTGAAAAACTTAGATTTCGTAAGAAATGTGAAAATGAAGAACAAGAAATAGAAACGTTACCAAACGGGCCCTAAACAACCATAAAAATCCAAACCAAATTGAAATTTAGATAGAGAGAAAGTTTGAAAACAAACCTATGCAAGGCATTTAGCCAATAGCTTCTGGCATTTGTCCCTCCTTCCAACAAGCTAGAGACTTCCACATGCTTTTGACCATTCAATATATGATCAACCATGAACTTATGGACAAAATCAGGAGACCCAAAAAGACCCTTCATAATCTTTCCAATGAACAGCCCACCATTTTTCTGGAACAGTAAAGAAACCCCACATGCCTTCACTTTCACCACTGGATTCATAGCCATTATGGAGACATCTACACAGCAAGATTGGCTCAACCAATAACTGATCTTTCTGAATGGTATATAGAACACCAGAAGCCCTTGTGGAGGCCTCAATTTGTCCTCGTTCATGTCAAATACTAGAGGAGATTTAAAAGGACAATCGTCTGTTTCCAATTGGATGAGGAAGTTGCAACTGCAAGATGATTGAGGGTTTTGTAACTCAAAGAAAGCAGATAAAGCAATCCCAATTCTCGTATTATCTTCAGATTCTGGTGTGTCTTGAGCACAATGGACTGTGATTGAGGATCCAAGCTTTTTGTGGTCGAAGCATGAAATGAGTTGAGTGTAAGGAATGGAAAAGAAGTATTCTTCTTGTTGCCATGTAAGAGCCTGAAAATTGAAGAAAGTAAAGAAGAAACATAGATATAAAAATTAGGTTTGATTCTTGAACTTTGATGTATATTTCATTTTGGATTAGTCTATATTAGTTCATTTGATGGGTTTTTAAAACATGTATTTTGATACTTGTATAATGTGAATTGTTTGATAGATGGATGAAATGAATTCGAATACAAGTATCAACCTCTTGAGATAGGATATTGTGGATATTAAAATTCAAATCGAATCAAAATGGCACCCTAGTTACAATTTTTTTTTTCAGACCTATTTATTATGCATTAAAAAAAGTTTCGGAGTGGGAAATTAATCCTCTCCAAGTTAGAGCTATCTAATATCTAATTCCTTCATGTATGATAATAAAAGAAGGAAAGACAAATTAGAGTTTATACCTAGTTCATCTCAAACCCAAGATTAGAGCTATCCAATATCTAACCAATTCCTCGTATGATAATAATAGAAGGAAGGACAAATTAAACGATAGAAAATTAACACTAGAGTTTACACTAGTTCATCCCAAACTCAACATTATGATCAGTGATCTTCTGCAACTACTAGATTCTACCTATAATATAAAGATTACAATGAGATGTCTTAACACTCTATAAAGCTCTCAAGATACATACCACAACAAGAATTACTTGACACTTTATAGAACCACAATCTTTCCTCTCACTRGCTCCTTGGCGACTAGTGGAGGCTGCATCTGAAGAAAGGGGAAAGCTTGGTTAAAATTGAAAAATGTGTCAGACCTTCTTGGTTACGTAAATAACTAGCTTCATTAATAAGTGGGCACCATGATTCTCTAGGATAGTGTTAGGGGAACTCTAGGCGGCGCTGTAGGCGCATTCAGGTATAGTGCCTAGGCGTTGTCTTTTCTCGGCTCGATCGAGTGCTTCCAAAACTCCTTTGATCCCTTTCTCTATTTCCTTCGATTCAAGTTTCATAAACGACCTTCCAACGAGTCTTATTGATGATTTGGACTCCACAAAATCCAACAACGAGCCCTTTCTCTTCTAATAGCCCCACCTAGCTCCTCCCTTGTTTCCCCTTCCTTGCTAATAATGCATAACTATGACCTTGAATCAACCAGGTACAACCTAGTGCTCTTTTAGTAAATATCTACTTAGCAAGTTTATACATATATTCAAATTTACACCATCCTTCTATCAAACAATTAGCAACAAAATAACGACAAAGACTAGAGTAGTGAGTTATTTTTTAAAAGTTCAATAACTAAAAAAGACATATTGAAAAATCATGAATCAAAATAGAATACATTTGAAAATTCAGAGATAAAATTAATAATGTAAGAAATTAAAGTAAATACTTTTTCTGAATCAAAGTAGAATAAACTTGAAGGATTACCTCGATGTATCTTTGAAACATCGTCCGAAGGTGGATACTCGACAGGTCGATCCTATCAATCTTGAAATTCTGAAGTTCATTTGTTATCGGGCAACTTATAACAGTAATACCTGTTGAACTTGAAGGCATCTGCTTCTCCTGATTGYAATATTCTTTAAGTGAAACACAATCCCTTGCTTCCACATTGCGCACACTGAGTGGAAGTTTAGGCAAAATTTGAAGCCTTGTGCAATTTACCAAAACAAGAGTTCTAAGATTCACAAGTTGGCAAAGGCTTTCAGGAAGACAAGTAAAACTATTGCCACTTAGATCAAGAATTTGAACTGAAGGCAAGCTCTCAAGATTGTTTGGTATGTCCCCATCCAACAAATTACAATCACTTAAATTCAGATTCCTCATTGAGCCAAAGCTAGAAAAGCAGTATGTCCACTTCAAGCCTTGAGAGTTCGAGGAGTTCCATGAAAAATTCCAACATGGGAACAATGAGTGGACAMATTTACGAGACAAACCTTGACAATTTAGTATTTCGAGATTTGTCAGAAGTTGGAGGGACAATGGAGCTTGATGTACAAGAGTATTGGTTACATCAAGCTTCTCTAGACAAGAAATGTTTCCCAAACTCTCTGGAATTCTGTCGAGTTTTGAGCAGCCATTTAAGTYGAGGGTTTTCAGAAATGTCAAAAGCCCAATAGTGCTTGGAAGTTTGAGAAGATTTGTGCAATTTTTGAGATTTAACAGCTCAAGTTTTGGTAAATTTCCTATTGATGGATGCAACTCTTGTATGGAAGTTTTATCTAAATGAAKCTCTGACAAATGTTTCATGTTTCCCATAATCTTTGGGAAATTCTTGAGCCTTGAACAGCCTGAAAGAGATAAAATAACAAGTGATTCCAAGCTGATATTGAAAGGGATACCTCTTAGAGATTTGCAGTTCTTGAGATCCAATTGAATAAGATACTTTAAAGTCCCTAGAGATTGGTGAAGCTTGGAGAGTCCCACACAGCCACTCAAAATCAATCTTTCTAGATTTGGAACACCGGTGAAATCAGGTGTCTTGGAAATGAATTGGGAGTCACTTAGATTTATTGTTTTCAATTTATCCAAACTCTGCAAAACAATAACAAAATAAGTGTATGAGCACAGGATAAGGATCCTGTTGTCGAAAAGATAAAGGACTTAAAAGGGTTTATAATAGACATGGGTGCTACTCATTGGTTCAAGTGGAATCCATGAATATTAATATGGTATCAAAGTCCAAAACGTTCAAACAAACATCTAGTCCAAAAATGAAATTTGGCTAAGATCGACCAGCTAAAAGAACCACGACTTTAAAGAGGCATATTAAGGATTCCATATTGAAAAGATGAGRGGTGAAACCCATGAATATTAACAGAACATACTCTAAACAATGGGAAATTTTAGCTCATTTCATGTACCTTTGAACCCTTCCAGAGATGCTCAATGCAGCTGTTGGGCAGCTCAAGTTCTAATAGTCTTTTGGGGTTGAAATTTGGTGGAAAATATTTCAAAGGGTCCATGCCAATTGAGAAACCGCAACTGATCAGAGAGATATTCAAGATCTCCAGAAAGGTAAACATTGTTAACTTTCAACACTCTGAGATTGGTCATTGCTGCAAAGGACTTGGCATTCAACTGTGACTCTCCCTTCTCACTTGAATCCATCATTATGCCCTCAATGGCTTCTGTTCCCTAACAAAATCAAATAGAGAAATTTTCAAAAGGAAAGAAATTAAATCATACAGACATGCCAAGTAAATTTCGGGTTAAATTACAAGTTTAGGAGAGACCTGTACCACAAGTCTCTAAACTTGAAGACCTTTAAAAAAAATTTAACAGATGTCTGAACTTTCAAGAGAACGTCTAATAAGTTTTTGAACTTTAAAAAACATCTAATAGATCAGATAAATTCTCAATTTTGCATTGAATAGGTCTTTAAATTTTTTATTTTGTACCTATCCAATAAATTCTTAATCTGCGGTACTTTTTTAAGTTCAAGGATATATTAGACACCAAATGAGTAGTTCACGGATGACTTATTAGAAACTTTTTAAAGTTCAACAACATATTAGATACAATAATATCAAAAACCTTAGGGATCTATCAACACTTTTTAAAGTTTAAAATTTAGAGACTTACTAGATCGACATATTGCTTACCGTTTCAATTTGGAAGTGTTACCTGATTGCGACTTAGAGCAAGATTTATATCCTTGCGAAGCCACAACCTACTTCGTTTCTCAGGGTTGTCGGGAAACAATCTACGAACAACTTCTTGACCCATTTCTTGGATCAAATCATGCATTTGTATCTTGTCATGAGGAGTAGTAATGAGAGATTTTTCCTCCAATATTTCTATTCCAAGAACAGCATGAAATCCAAAGCTTTGAAGGACTTCTATTGCTTGGCTTTTACTTTTCCTTTTAAAAAAACATGCAATGTCTAGAAAAATTTCCTGCTCCGACCTCTCCAACAAATCATAACTAATCCTCAACTTTTCAAAGATTTTCTTGTCACGAACTTCTTTCAACTTCTCTACTGCATTCTCCCATGTCTCCATTGGTTTATCACGTAGAGAAGATCCAAGCACCTCGATTGCCAACTTGGATAGCGACGTCGAAATAGACTTTGTTTGGGTAGTCTGATTTAAAAGCTCTATGGGAAAAAAGCCGTAGAGCCTCTCCAAGGTTTAGCCCCTCGACCTTGTATCTTCTCTCAATGCCATGGGAAACGAGAAGATGTTCGTCTCTCGTCGTGACGATGACTCGACTTCCCGGACCGAACCAATCACAACCTCCCGCCAACTTTTGAAGTTGGCTCAAGTGATTGACATCATCAAGAACAATCAGAGCCTTAATATTACTTATTCTTCTCTTAATCAATGTAGCTCCATCACCATCTTGAATCTCAATGTTTCTTTTCATTAGAGCCCCTGATAGAAGTTTCTCTTGCAATGAATTCAAGCCTTCATCTTTGAAAGCTTCCTTGACATTGTCCAAAAAGTAACATCCTTCAAATAAATGGGACACATTTTTGTAAATAATTCTTGCCATGGTTTGTTTGCCAATTCCACCCATACCCCAAATTCCAACAAATCGCACATMATCCAATCCTATGCCCAAAAGCATGTTTACTTGGTGTAATCTTGAGCTAATTCCAACCAGTTTATCATCGTATCGAAACAAATCAGGACGTAATTTGTTGAAAATATGCTTCACAATTTCTTTGATAACCTCCTCTTCAGACCTATGAGGTTTCATTAAACAGGTAGTAAGCAAGAACAATATGTGGAATATGAAATTCAACGATTAAATTCATCATTTCCCCCCAAAATTACTTGTCTTGGGTTATGTGGATGGTGTCTAATTTTTAAGGAAAAAACCGGTAATTTAATGGTTTAAATACTATTTTAGTCTTTCTACTCCTGATTTAGTTCATTTTGCTTTGTAGTCTCAACTTTTGTTCATTTTCAAAATAGTTTGTTATTTTTAAAAGGTGACCAAACTTTTAAAAGGTAGACTAATTGGGTCTTTATTTGAAAAAATTAACATAAATTTCATACACGATAGAAACTATTTAATACAAATTTATGGTTATATTTCAAGAAATTTAGTGATCACGTAACATTTCAGTGCTAAAATTATGATTGAAATAAATGAGATGAAAATGAAAATAAATTGACCAAAATTAGTCATATTATAAAAGCCCATCAATATTCATAGGTTACATCGAAAAACAAATAGTTTTGAGAGTAGTATTCACCTCAAGATAATGCCTTCTAGGGTTCACCAATCTTTGGCCAGATCCTATTGTTGGTCTAGATGCTCGTGTGAGGCTCGGCTCTAATACCATATCAATATTCATGGAGTGTTATCTCAAAATAAATTGGCTAGAAATGAAACCCCATGAATATTATTATGATATSAGAGGTAGTAAAAAAGAAAACCTCAAATGAGCATCCAGTCGAAAAATGGGATCCGGTCAAGATCCATGAGYAAAAATAGTCATGATCTTGAGGGAGCATGTTAGACGTAGGTTTCTCTCATTGCTAACTAATTTTGAGATGAAACACATGAATAATACAAAGACCAAAATAGAGGTTTAAAAGTAGATGGAAAAAAATAAATCAAAAACCAAAAGTAGAGAAACCAAAATAGTATTAATCATTTAAAAATTTTAATTTAATTCTTTTTACGTTTGAATGTTTTCAATTATACACTTTTTTTTTGTTTTTTTTAWCAGATAGTTAATAATAAACTTAATATTTAGTCTCTTGGGAGGAATCTRAACAAGGGATTAGGGTAGAGTGGAAACGTCAGAATTTCCACAACTCCATGGAATTTTGGAAGATATGAATTAAAAATTTAAATTTGTTTTAAACTTTTTCTCTACAAAAAGCTTATAATTAAAAAAATATTAGAACATGTAAGAGACTAAATTAAAAATCTATAAATAATATAATTTATAAATAATAACACGATTTAATTGAAAAATGTATCCTTTTCAATAAAAAAGAAAAAAATCATAAAAAATGGATGAACTAAAAATTTGTGTTCAACGTTAGTTGACATATATCTCCAACTAAAAAAGGTTGATCTAGACTGGCGTACAACTAAAAAAAAATTAAAAGAAAATTGAAGAAGAAGAGAATCAACGGGTGTTCTTACTGCGACTCTTTGAGATGCCATCCAGAGAGGTGGCCAACTTGGTTCATAGAATCCCTCCATGTTTGAATTTCTTCAATATCATTCTCTTCATGTTCACTAAACGGCTTCTCAAAGTTCCCCATCTGCTTGCTCACGTTGGCTGGATCAATCTGATAGAAAACAGGAAGAACCAACTGATTCATCCTCTCCTTACACRTTACAATCTTCGCCATCTCCTTCATTCGAATCCAATCTGCGTACTTCTTTGAGAAAACCACGATCGWAGCCCTCGATTCCTCGACCGCCCTCAGCGTCTCGGTCACGGGTTTCGCTCCGTCGTCTTTAAAAACGACGATTCCTTGAGCCGTTAGAGCATCGTGGAGATCGGCGGCGAAACCACTGCCGGTGTCTTCGACTCTGTGGCTGAGAAAAACGTCGTAGTTTCGCTCGAGAGGAGGAAGGGAGAGAGAGAAAGGAGAAGAGCTGGCTGTGGAAGCCATACGAGACTACCTCGAGCTGCTTCTCGAGAGAGATGTCTTATCTAGTCAACGGAGTCAACTGATTTGTTTTCGGAGTTGGAAGAGAAATCAGATCAGATTTGAAACTAAACACATGAGATTTTGACTCTTTTGCACAACACGACAATGATTTGTGGAGGTCGGTAAGAGGATAATACTAAACTATGTTAAATAAATGCATGGTTTATACCAATAGCAACTAATTAATTCGTTTAAATTAAGCTTTCAAAAAAAAAAAATCGTTTAAATTACTTTTAATAAAAATGTTGTAATGCATTTGGTTAAAATTTACAAACTGCTTTCAATAACAAATTTATTTTATTAAAAAAGTGATTGTTCTCTATTCCTTAAAATAATGTTGACTCGTTGACATTAAAGTTTAGCTTTACTTTTAGACTTCTCGCTTTAAAGGAAATTTTTTGTTACATTAACTTTCTTCTATTATATTTATTATGTCATTTTAAATTTATATTTTTTCTTAGACAGAAGGTATCATTTACAACATTTCTAATTCGAGTTTAAAAATAGGTTAAAAAGCACATTTGGTTTGGTCCTGTACTTTCATTAAAATAACGATTTAGTCCATGAACTTTTAATTGTAACGACATAGTCCCTGTACTTTCATATTAATAACAATTTAGTCCCTGAACTTTAATATGTAACAATTTAGTCCCTATAGTTTAAAATTTGTAATAATTTAGTCCATATCACGAAAAATCTCATCAAAATTAAATGTCAAATTTTGTCATATAACGATTTAATTTTTGTAATTTATAAACTAATTCGATCCTTCATCGGTTTATCGGTCTACATATATAAAAAAATTAAAAAAATCCACAATGGAGACTAAATTATTACAAACTTTAAACTTCAAATACTAAATTGTTACCTTCTAAATTTTAGGAATTAAATTGTTACAAATTTAAAAGTATAGAGACTAAATTGTTATTTTTGAAAGTTCGGGACTAAATCATTACTTTAATTAAAGTACAGGGACCAACTTAAAAATATATTCTTTAATTACGTAATTAATATGGTTTATTCCATATGTGTCGGCGACAACTAATTGTGAAGATGCACACTATATTGAGTCCAAGGAGTAAAAGGTAGATTATGAGACTTGGCAATAGCACAAGCATGACATAATTAAGGAAGTTTTATTAATGTTTGAAACATTCATATTACCTTAGAATGAAGCATTGAATAATAACAAAATTTATATACTCAAGTGGTTCAGGCACCTAATTCTGACCAAAAGATCATTGGTTGGAATCCTACAGGTTTGCAACATCACATATCTCAAAACATTTTAAGCTCTCGTCCCTAGCAAATTTGACACAACTGTTTTCGTCGAATTCTCTTTATTGAGTTATCTTGATCATCTTAGCAACTATTGACTCCAGGTGCTGACATGTGGCGGTCGATTAATCGCCTTCGACAAATCTAATATTAAATCTTTGTTCCTCCTTAGCAATAATTGAGTCATATTTAAAATTAATATTCACCTTAGTTCGTCTATATAATTTCAACCAATACTCATAAAGGTTTTTAATTTTTCCACATTGGATGAAAAAACCGCCCTTTTTCTTGATATATATATATATATTAAAAAATTCTAAGTACTAAATTTTTTTCTTTTAAATAAGAAGGATTTAACCATATAAAGTAGTAATTAATTATTTTTTTTTCAAAAAAAATATTTTAAAAACCAACAATAATAAGTGAGGAATTATTTTCTGCGTGGAACTTAATCCTCGTGAACTCTTCGTAGATTACCCTGTGGGAGCGGGGATTGGGGAAGACTTTCCCATCCTTTCTCCGTCCCGAGAACAGTTTTTTCTTGGAGTACAACAAATAGAAGTAGGGGATTTGAACTCATGACCTCTTGATCAAGACAAGTGTCAATTACTGCTGAACTAAACTCATGTTGACAATCTGTGAATGCTCTTAGATATTCATATCAATATATTAATGCACATGTTCATTTGTTAAATAATTTATGGGAGAATAGACTATAATAGTTATTTTTAAAAGTACAAGGACTAAAATTTGTTTAAAGCTGGAGGGTCAAATTGAAATAAGTTTAAAAATTCAAAGGATAATTAAAAAGAGATTTAAATAACAAAACAAAAAGGTGAAATGAGAGCCAAGCAGGGAAATAATATTATAATATTATTCACATAGCTTATTTATTTAATTATTTATATTTAATATTACTTTTTGCTGATTAAATTTCTTATCATGTGTAGCGTCAAGATTCCCACGCCAACATTAATTTCTTATGTAAAGGTGACAATAGGAATCAATTCCACGATATATTTTCCAAATTTGAAGAATAAAAGTATTGATATTTAATGATGAAATTAAAAGTTTGATTTTGGAAAGATTGTTTGTAATTATTGCTAAGCCAAAGTTTGTCCAAAAGAAAAAAATGCAAAGAAAAATGGAGTCTTTGGGAATAAAGCTGGCTTGCCATGGCACGATCACCATCAGTTAATTATTTATTTTAATGACAGTTGGATGTTCTATTAATCTAATTTTTGCATTACTTAAATTAGGGCTCTCTAATTTAAGACATTATCTTTTTAATCAATGATGGTGCTTTACCAAATTCACACGGTACTTGTCTTCAAACTTTGACCAAATTTCAATAAATTTCAAATAGATTCAGCAACTCCTAAAGTTGGATATTTCTTAGGAAGAAATTAGAGTCGGCAGCATAGTTTTAAATGTCGTCGATGTAAATATCAATATCTCAATTTCATCGAAATTTTGATAGAAATATTGATAAAATATCGATGTCGATGAATATTTCTATAAAAATTGGAGAAATTAGAAAATTGTAAAATATATTTAAATTAATAAATAAATAGTTTTTAAAAAATAATTAATATTAATATTGTATATATATTGATTACATTTTGTTGGTATTTTTTAAAATTTTCAATTTTTTATTTTTATTTTTTGTAAGATAATGATGAAAATGTCGATTTATACCTTATATCGATGTCGAATGCATGGATACATGGACATGCTGATAGAAATGTCTCGACTGATATTTAGTACCATGGTGGCCAGCTCTAATAACTAAAATAACTAAAAATATTTTACGAACATCAAAATTGTCCTCCTCCCTTCACTTGTTCTACTTTTATGTTATTTAGTTTCTTTCTTTTTCCTTTTTGAAAAATATTTAGTTTCTTTCTTAGCACTTAGACTTGGTGCTTTTTTTTCTCTCTCTCTTTCATCTTGATACCTTCCATAATCTCTTACAATTTTTTCTTTTAAAAAATGGTGTTCGTGTGTGTTGTTTGTTGGAAAAAAATATAGATCAATCGATCCTCCGGTAAGTTCTTCAAACATGAACTATTTGATTTTCCCCTTCCATAGGCTAAAAGCAAATAAGTAAGTAACAATAACAAAAGAATAAAAGATAGGGATAGTAAAGCTTAACACTACCGGGATTATACTGGTTCGCCCCTATCTTGGAACTACGTCCAGTCTTCTGTGAAAAAGCAGGTTCAACTATAGTTGGGAATATTACAATGGAGATCACACTCAAGATATTAATATCTTGCTTTTAAGTATCCTAACAATAGCTACTTAGGATTACACAATTGAAAATACCCTCACTAAACCTTATAAGACAATAATATCCTACTCCTTGTAGGAATTGGTAGTAATGTTGAAAATCATTTTCCTCGTAGGACACGGGTCATCTGTTTTGGCTCCATTATCCCAAAAATCTCCCATTTGGAGACAAAACATCGATCTTGCCTCCCACTGCAACAATAGTCTCTGATAATCTTGGAAAACTCTAAGGCTTCTACTACAACAACTTCTACTTCTGATCTTTTTGAAAAAATCTTCAAGGCTTCTCCTGCAAGTTTAAAAACTTGTAAAACAAAATATCAGAAATCACTGGTCTCATATGTCTTTGCCCTAAGGTCAGGCAATCTACGTGGTCTTGTCTCCCAGACGCAAGAGACACAGCCATGTACTCCCACTCAAACTAAGTGGCGATATCTGAAGTTTCCTTCTTCATTCTCAAATACTGATTCTTGAAGAAAGAACTTCTCACTGATGACTTGACAACTGTATTAAAGTCTGCTGCCAGAATTGAAACTCCATTCTTTACCTCAGCACCTACTGAGTTAATCTTTTTTGATGCAACTGTTCGCTGGCGCGACTTCATCAATTCACCCATTCGTCTAACAACTAGAGATAATCCCAGACAACCTAAAGAACCTGTTCTCGTTCTTTGACTTCCCAATTGTTGTTCCTGAATTGATGGCAGATCCTTCTGATCTGTTCTGGTTGTCTTTGTTGTTGGTTCAGTCCTATCTCTTTGGACACCATCTGCAACTTGCATCCACTGTTTCAATGATCCTCTAGCAACACTCAATTGCGACGTGTAAACTGCAGATCTTCTATGGCCAACTGCCACCAACTTGGATCCTTTGGTGAGCTTCCATTGGTTCCCACCAAACTCACTCTGATAACCATCATCGTCCAATTTACCTGTAAAGATAAGGTTCATTCTGATACTGGGTACATACCTGACATCTCGCAGTAATAACTCAGTCCCACTATTGGTCTTTTCAATCGTATATTTCCAATCCCTTTAGTCTTGGAAAGTCTTCCATTCTCCATCCTCACGTGGCCGCGATTGCCTCTTCTAAAAGATGTGAATAATCTTCTACTTGAAGATATGTGTACTGAAGCTGCGCTGTCTATTACCCACTCTGATGACTGGTTTCCTATTTCTGTGTTGCTTTCAACACAAACGAGGGCATCGTCTACAACTGCATTTGACTCCGCCACATACCTCTTCAGATCCTCTTTTAATATTCTACAGTTTTTCTTGATGTGGCCTTTTCTGTGGCAATGAAAACATTCAACATCTCTCTTCCAATCCCTCCTACTATGCTTCTGCTGCCTGTCATCGGACGCAACCTTCTTTTTACCTTTTTCGACAGCCAATACTGAGCCTTGTACGGAAGTAGATTTTTTTCCACTCCCCTTTCTGCGAATTTCTTCA